ACTTTAACTTGAACCTGTATCTTTGTCTCTAAACAGGAAATTTCTTTTGCACTTTTACACTTTTTCCTTTTCATCTGCCCGCATCTGGCCAATCCATCACCTTTCATTGTTTATACTGTTATAAAATTAATTAATTAATTTAAAAAATCATCGGCCCATAAAAACAAAAACTCACCTGGTGGGCCGATGGCCAGTCCAGCTATGCCTCCTGGAGCTGGGACTGCAGGTTCCACTTGAGCCTGTAAATATGGTTGGAAACCAAAATAATGATCTAAAATAGGCTAAACAGCTGGAAACACCTCACATTACACAAAGAAAACAGGAGATGATAACAATAATAATAATGCATTTATATTACCACACATATAATTAATGTATTTTTTTTTTTCAGTTTTCCTTTTATTTAGTGTCTTTGGCCTGATTTATAATAAAGCCTTTCTGATAACTCTAATATGTTTTTATAGTTTTATTATCAAGGTGCTAATGTGGTCCAGATGCGCTTTCTGAGATTGCACAGTGGCACAGCTGTACAGAAGGTTACCTACTCCTGCCATCCAGGACACAGACTGGGCCCGGCCTACCGAGATGTCAAATTCCTCACTGACTCAAGGACACAAAGTTACCTCGGAGCAGTTCAAGATTGTGTGGTATGTAACAGAACTACAGAAAAATATCTTCCTATTTGACTTTTTTTCACCTCCTTTTTGCCAGATTTGCAAAAGGTTGGACAGATTAACTCAACATGGGCAGGGTGTAGAAGGACATAAAGCTCTGTTAATCCAAGATAGTTTGGAAGGAATTCCCAAAGGCCCGAAATAAAAAAAAATTTAAAAAAGTGAGAAAAATATCTGGCATCTGTATAAATGTAGTAGTTATCTGTAAGAGGAGTGAAGATATTTGAAGATACCACCTTTATACAAAATAAAAAATAAAATACTGTGTACTGTACTGAATATCCTGGATGTTTTATATATAAGTAAATGGCATGTGGTTTGTGGAGCTCAATGTGCAAAAAATATATACAGTTTTCAAAAATCATGACTTCCTTATTAAACAAAGAAAAAAGAAGAAAAGTAGTTTCATGTAAAATGGCATAAATGTGTTAGTCTGCTATCAGTTTGTGACTGAATGGGGTCAAGTTGGCAATTACATGCAATCTGTTTGTGAGAACACAGTGATTAACTGTGATGAATTGGCAAAAAATCTGTATCGATCTGCGTATACAGGAATTTACATTAGCTAATTAGATTTAAAGTACAGCCAAAGCCTCACAGATTTGAGACAGAAATTCCAAAAAACCTTCACAAATAGGAGTTTGGTT